TTTTAATGTTTAGCGTTTTTAATCCAAAAGCAAAAAAAAAATCCAAAAGCAAAAAAAAAATCCAAAAGCAAAGAAATATATTCCAAAAGCAAAGAAAAACATTCCAAAAGCAAAACAAATTAGAGAAGAAGAAGGATAAAATTATTTTATTTGACTTTTTTGATATTTGGAATACAAATTTTCATTCTGATACTTAATGATTTGCTTGTGGTTTTCAAAATTTTGATTGATACTTTTGGCACTAAATTAACTCCATAGGCGTGTTTCCGACGGGAAGTGACGTTTTTCGTGACGTTTTCACCTGAGTTCCAAATTGGAGAGAAATAATCGAACGCACCAATAATAACCTAGAGCAAACGTTTTCTAAAGGAAGCAGGTTTTCGTAAAACTACCCATAGGAGAACCATAGTTTAGGTTTGCGTGTGAGATGTCAGGCACACCTAAGAGGTGCTAGAGTGCTAACTGCTCTGATCCCAAGGTCCTGAAACTAAGCTAGGGCAAACTCTAACACAAATGAAGCACTGGGTAAGAACCTTACTTGGACTATTATTTTGGAATTATTGCCAATTTGTTGGATCTACATATTTGAAAATGGCCAACATTTTTTTTTCTTGTGTAGAAGAATAGAACTGGAATTACAAGAGTGAGCTACATACAATGGATAAGATGTATTTTTGTGAAAAAATCTCAGAGGAATGTTGATATGAGTATTAATTGAAAGGCCTACCTTTCCAACATAAGGGTACACCTTCTCAGAGTCAATGCCTTTATTGGTGCTGATGTATTCAAAGGCATCTGTCATGAAGCCTCCTTTGCAGCCACTTTGGCTAACGCAGTCCACCAGGTTCTGAGGGCTGAGTGGCACCAGCTTTCCCGTCATCTTCTTCATCAGGCCCTCTAGGGCACCAGCGGCACTGAAGGCCCAGCAGGAGCCACAGGAACCCTGCAGCAAGGAAATCTCATCTTTGAAAAGACCGCCTGTTTCTGTTTGTCCACCAGGGGGCAGGACTGTGTTTTTCTGAACAAGAATTTTCCATTCGTGAATCTGATTGAGCAACAATGACATTAACCAGGGGAATGTACTTGTCTTACTGTGGAATAGCTTCAGTATCAAATTAGATGATATATACATTTCTTAAGCTGTTACTACACATTAGCCATTGAAAAACGCTCAAACTCAACATGAATTTGTGAACTTGGCAGAGGTCTTTCCTCAAGCCAGTTATATAAAAGGAGCTCCCCAAGAACTAACTGGGCTATTTCTTGTAGCTGATGACACCGTTTCATTATATTTTATGTTTGTTCAAAAACAACAATGCTCACTGCGTGTCTGATTCTGAGTGCGATAAAACCCTTACAGGTGTGTCTGTGTGATAAGTTTCAGCATCAAACCTAAGATCACTAT